CAGGGGCGGCTTGGGCTGCTTGCTTGCAGAGGGCTTCGCCGAGGTCGAAAAGTTTGTCGCTGGATTGCACGCGGAAGCGCGCGTGGGGGAAGATTGGGGCGTATTGGAGCCATTCGAAAAGCCAGGAGGGGAGGCACAGGCGCCAGACGACGAGGAAGTTGTACTCGCCGACGACGCGGGGGAAGTCCTTTGTGTCGAGGTCGACGGCGGAGCCGCCCATGATGATTTGGGAGTTTTTGAGTGTGCAGATGCGGAGGTGGTGGACGATGTCTTCGGATTTTGTGCCCTCAGATGCGCCGAGGTCGCGGACCATTTCCTCGATTATGTTGACGAAGGATTGGTGGGACGCCTTGAGGTTCTTGGTTGTCGTTGCGATCATGACGGGATGGCGGCGTTGGCGTGCGATGTCGTGTTGGGGGTAGGTGACTGTCCAGTCGTGGCCGCCGACACGTAGAGCACGGATTGAGGTTGGTGATGTATCCAGATCCTTCCTGATGAAGACCTTTTCCACGGACTCAGGGTCATTCAGAATTACCAGATTGGGGGCGATTCGGACGATAGGACCGTATTGTGCCATGAGTTTGTCTGCTTCCAAGGAGAGCCTGCCGTGCCATCTCTGCCACCGGATCCAGAGTGTGGTGGCAGAGGATATCCAAGGCCCGGGGATGCTTCGTAGAGTGTGTATATGGGCATTGTAGATCATCTTTGCCGCTTGGTAGACGACAAGAGAGAGCAACACCACTGACAAGGCACTCCATGGTGAAGCGTTGCGGGTGATGGTGTCCAACATCTTGGAGAAGAAGTGGTGTACCACTCAAGGAAAACAAGCCGCGTTGGCAATACAATTGAAAAGAATATCAATCAAGTACAAAGAAGTTCTTGATTTGATATTTGAAAGAACTGAGTCTACCCATTCCAGCGCTGAAGACTCTTCAGTACTTATACCTCAGAGAAACAAACACCCCGTGGCACAACCCCTCCTGGGGACCCCTTGAGTCCGAAGAATAGAGCCGACTGTACTTCGAAAGACGAGAAGAAACCCCAGCAGCGTGTTCCCTTGCTCCTCCTTCCAGTTACGAGTGTTTTCCTTGTAGTTTCACTACATACAATCGGACCGTTCTTGGCAATATCAAGCTGAACATGTCTGTGCATACCCATAGCCACGAGGCGAACCAGAGCCCGAAAAGAACTGAGAGACATTTAAAGTTTGATAGACCAACGCAGGGTCTCTGATGGCAAACCGACATGTGGTTTGTTGAGATTTGCCTCCCCCTTTGACCGGGGTTGTCTGTTCGTGAGGATCGGGCCTTATGCTCGCCACAAGGCTGCTGTTGACAAAGCTAACTCTCTTTATCAGCCTCAACAGGAGCCGAGAGTGAGCTGTGGGGGGTTAAGAATAAGTATGACAAGGATTGGATAATCATCCCCGAAAGCAGACAAGATGTGCGAGAAAACCACGAAGACAAGTAACTGCCGTGCATATGAGCTGCTCGACACCGTTGTCTTGAAGTTGATCCACCAAACATGCAATGATATTCGTACGCGCAATCTCCTCGTGCAGAGGGCTCCCTTGAAGACGGTCTTGGTCGTTGACGATGCGTTGGGCCTCACTCATTCGGCCATGGAAAGTCACTACCTAATCGACACACCTCATCTCATCCCATAAAACACCAGCAAGTCCCCGAACTCGGGGCATACTCCATACTAGGGTTAATTAGTGTTTCCCCTCTCTATTATGAATGCGCAGATCGATGCACCTTCCCAAACAGCCTAGACAAGATGGACGGCACATTCCATAGTGAATAAGATTGGCTTTCATCGACACTGCAAGTTTCCCTTTTGATAGGGCAGAATAATTTGCATCTGTATACAAATAGTAATTGGAAAAGCGTAATGGGAACCCGGCGCCAGTTCCGAGACCGTGTGACAATAAACAGTGATGGTTCTCAAAGATGCCCTCGAATTTACGACTGGCTAACTAACCCCTAATTAGACCCTGATCCGTTGTCCAGATGTCACTGGCGTGCTTCTCTAAGATTAGTATAGCGTGAACTAGTCTAGCAGCCCTGCAATACGGGATATAAAGACTAAGAGCCATACTAGGGAGAAGGAGGCATGATGATGGGGGTTCAGTGTTTGACACTTAAGCTACGTGAGTGCTAGGAGTAAAATAAAGTTTTGGTAGCTGAAAAAACCTGGCTCAGCATATAGGTAATCACAGGGACCGAGGGGAAGAAAGATCGATGATAATTCTGTTCCGTTAATGCTTACTTCCCAGGTGTGCACGAGTGTGTCCTGCGTTTTGCAAGATGTCGGAGAATACTCCGCCCAGGACGGGACGGTCGCCCGAACTTGGTAGCTTTCGGTGCACATCGCAGACACTCTGATCATTGCTGCATCCGACCGTTTTTTGTGTGAATGCTTGTTTGCCTCACCTCGCCGTCTACTGACTTGTGGTGCCCAATCTCTGTCTACTATCAGAACCATGGGTACGAAACTGCCAGGGTGCAAAATGCGTATGAGCGTTGAAGGCAACCCTCTGCATCTAGCTGGCTCTGGATGGCTCTAGATGTGATTAGAGTTTGGCCTCACCTCGCCCACTCCGAATATTCTTTTTGTATGAATAGAAAAGTGGCAATACTTACCAGTCACAAAAAAAGACAGTTGAACTAGAAACCAACCAATTGGGTCGGACGGGGAAAGTAAGACACACTTCAATGTAATCAAACCGATGACCATAAAGCCGATGTTCCTTCCCTCCCTTCTCCTCCACGAATATATCACCCATATGGTAAATAACCCGAAAGTCTCAAACCCCCCCATACGCACCCCGAACTGCCGACTGCCTCCCCAGACAGATCAGTGCTCTCTTGATGTTTCGAAAAAAGGAAACTGCATGCGAAACAAACGTCATAAAGTGTCGCAAACAACTCTTGCTACACGCACCTCTCCCCATGCCAATGACTCAGAAAATCGAAAAAAAACAATCAAAGCTAAACTTTGATCACACAAGGATGCAAATCAAAAAAATCCCCCCATGACAATGCAATCACCGATGCGCGATTCAAAGCAAACCAATGGCATCGAGATGCGTATACGATATACGCGCTATTGTGTACCTGTGCGTTTACCGTGAAGTGTAAAGGCGGAGATACAACCGACCCATGTCCCTTTCAACTCCTACCCCCCTTCTTTCTCCGGCACAACGGAGCCACGGGGATGCTGAAACCGATTGGGTTGCCGTATCACATATTCTGGGGATCTTGCTACCAGAGCCGTGGAGTGTAATTAATGTTCCTGGTGAGAAGAAAGATGTAATGTACGGGTTGAGGTTGTTGGGTGAATATCGTAACGGAATGTTCGGGGGAGCCGCAGCGTGGTGTGCTTACGGCCCGTCCCTTCCTGGGGATTTTAATCTGAGGGAGAGAAGGGAGAGAGGTGTGTAGGGAAGGGGGATTTGGAGGAGGAAGTGGGTGATGGGGGGGCGTTTAGGTAGTGTGAGGTGCGTATGACTGGTGATTGTTTTTTTGATAACGTGGGGTTTTGTGACTAGACAAGGGCCGAAGGACATCACCACGGATGAACTTTGGGCGCCGAGGGGAGTGTGATTCATACGTGTCGTTTATCGGCGTTACATTACGGCGCTTTGTGATGATTGATTGTGCTCTGTCTTGTCTCTCAAGCCGTTGTAAGGGGTTCATTGCTTCTGGGTGAACAATACTGTCGTCCATGGACACTGGGATCTCGATGGCTGGTCTGACTGGAGCGGTAAAAATAGATGGGTGGCGGAGCTGAAGCTGTGCTGACTTGTAGTCAGTGCTCTGTTAGTGAGGAAACCTTATAGGATGAGATTGTACCCTGGGGCTGAAGTCGGTGTGTCCGTAAGTCTGACGAGAGGTTGTGATCACATGTATCGCCAACTCGAGGTCTAAGTAATCTCTAGGTATCTTTGGATTTTTGCCTACTCAGCAGGCGATGATTTCGTGAGGGAGAAGTTGAAGAGGATAGGGTTCATAGTACGATACTTTGTATTGACAATAACTGTTATTGTCTGAATGATACTATGTCCATGGCAAACTCAAAGAACTTTGCTCGAATTAATTTCGCATACAAATTCTGGTAAAATAATGGAAAGTGACTAATCTAATATTAGAGTTCTATCTCGACATCGTAAGTCTGAGCAGTTGTATCGGATACAAAAAGCCAAGCAGGTATGTTTGGACAAACAAGTCTGCCAGTTGTTCACATATCTGCCACGTAGCAGATAATAGCACAACATGATAGCTCTGGGAGAACTGAAATAGCCAGATAACAACTACGTCCAACATCAGCCTAAGTCATAGAAAAGATCACCACAGATAGCGGTGGCAATGTACCAAGATTGTCGAAGTTTCACTGAGTATAGCATTATTCATTTCCTTAATATCTATGAAATAACAGTGCGTAATGTCGATGTTATCAAGGAGTTGCATTGTTGTAGTGGGCACACTTTTTATTCAGTTATTCAGGTTCCCCCAGAGATAGTCTGATCATCTTAGGCACGATACAGTCTGCTGTATTGTCTATTCGTACCAATGTAACCAGACGACTGTGGTATCTAGAGTTTCTGACCGTCTGATAAAGAGGGAAACCTTCCTATTTAAGCCAAAAGAGCTACAACCGGATTCCTAGCTGACAAACCAAAGCCACCACTGCTGGAATAGCAAAACCTATATTAAAAAGATGGCTCTTAGTCAGGATTAGGTCTTAGAAAGCTTGAAGGTCAGGATGGTAACAATGCTGGTTCGGTGTTTTCTAGTCAGCCATTGCCCGGGGACAGATTTAGCCGAGAATCATCATCACAGAAAAAAGTCAGGGACATCTCGAGTTTGGTAGTAAAACCAACTAGTAACAACATACTTAAGCAATTTTGGAAAACTTGCAGTGCTATTTGAGATCGATTAGACTACCAATACTGTTTCCTTCGCAGACAGCAAAACAGTCCCTTTCAAGAAGATATCATGATTGAGGACGATACAACTAGGAAGCTGCTGATAGGTAACGTCATCATACTGATGAATCCTTTTGCCTCCCGTTTCTGGAGAAGGCCATGCAGTTCTAGGATAGATAGGCAATGCTTCACCATCATGGTGAATCAGTGATAACAAACCCTGATAATCCTACGTCAGTTGGTCAAGACTGTTGACCCACAGAGTCAGGGACACAGGTTTACCACAAGTCTATCTGGATCCGGACATGCGTATACAACATCTGCTACTACACTTCTCCGCGGATTAGAAGTCACGGCCGTAAACCCCATGACCAAACCTAATCATGCAATGCACATTCTACCACTAAACAAGGTTCATTCTGTGATGACGGATAAACAACAGCTGGCCTGCAACACTACCCAATCCATATCCAAGGGTTTAGGGTATGACGCTGTGCACTTTACCCTGCATCAACATCATCAGCCATCAGGATCAGTCGTCATCGTCCCCGATGCACAATTACCGTTGACAGTTCACAGTGTTCTATCCTTGTCCCGTAAAAGTAAGCACGGCAGTTCATTCTCCTCACAAAATTTCTACCACAATCGTGATTCCCGTGATGTCGATACCGCTTACCGCATTGATCTACCCAACCACGTTGTGTTGCTCAGGCGATCTTAATCCACATGTAAGCGATCTGCACCGCAGATCCACCGGTACCTGAGTCAATCTCCTTCGGCATCTAACACCAACTATGGGCCAACGTGCTAGAGATAACATGGAGATTGAAGCAACCGCTCTTGCTTGCGTCACTTGAATCCCTGCTCAAACTCTAACGAACGGAAACCTGCCGCAACCTCGGAGGCGGTAGATAAAAACCGAAAAAAAATATGAGGCAAGACCGTCTAGGTTCTTGGACAACGGCCCGAGATTTTTGCGGGGAAGAAAGACCGAAAAGACGTGCTGGAATGGAAGAGCTTGCGAGAACCGGTGAAACGGTGGACAGCGGCCATTATGACGGATGGTCCGCAGTATGGCAGATACGAAAGTACATATGTACTTGAAATAGATAAAAGAGGGTTTCGATAGCGTTGACTAGAGAACGAAAAGCTAGGGCACGTGCTTACTTAAAAATACCCAGGCACAAGGAGTACGTACTGAATTGACCTAGACTTGCTCGCCCGAGGCTGAGCAAAAAAGAAGACTATGAAAAGCGAAATTGCATAAGGCTGGTAAGGGCTTGTGACATGCGTCATTTAGCAGGACCTAAAAGCGCCTCAAGGTGTCTTGCAAATAAAGTTTCGGGGTGGCTTTGTCAGAAGGGTGTGATGCTCGTAAACGGGTTGCCAAGTATTCCGCTGTCCGAGCATCAGTTCGGACTCTTGCAACTATTGTTCCGAGCACTCAGTACTCTTTATTGCCGGTATTTCTCTCTCTTGCTCTCGTTTCTTGCATGAGTAATGCATCGTTCCAGAATTGCAATCTGTGACAGACAGTGCATTGTTTTGCGCAATCACATAGCGCTTCGACCTGTGATTGAATGCTCAAGGTATTCTTGGAAGCTTTCTCACCCATTTTCGCAAGTATCACCAAAACAACACCCCTGCCCGACCAAATGCGCCTCGATTGCGCGCTATTCGTTGCGCGGATTACGTCGGATGGGTGGCAGTACCTGCACATGTTAACCGCGGTGATTGCAATTGCGTAGTAGATGATGTTTACCCCGCGATGCACATGCAACTCGTATATCGCACAGGCAAGCCATGACTAGCGAATGCCATCAATCCACAAAGACGTGTGGTTGAAGCTCGGCTAGGATGGAACGCTCGGGCGACGAGGCCGCATCCCGCGATACACAATCCGACTTGGTAGGCCTAAACATGGTTTCCAAGGCCGTCTGGACTAGTAGTAGACCCCCTTTCCCCATGCAAAGTCCACTGATTAGCCGGCAAAGCCCATCCCCATTGTAAAACATGGATCGTCCGCACGCGAGTCCTCGTATGCAAAGTCCGCATGCCAGGAGCAGGGATTTCGCTGTTGGTGGACGTGACCCAGGCAAGGCAGCCGACCGATAAAAGGACGATACGATACGTACGGATAAACCAGTGCTTTTTAGCACCTGCATCTCACCAATTCGCATCCGGAGACATCGCCGTTGTCACGCAGCGTGGGCGGCATCCCAGCATCCATCAATCGATACCTTCATCTTGCTACTAGTAGTTTGGCGCCCGGTTTCACAAGCCAAGGGTTGTGTGTTCCCCGCGGGCTCTGGGAACCACTATTACTGCTATCTTATTGCTGTATGACACCGCGCGATCCTCATCGTCGAGCCTGGGTCAACATGGACGACTTGTCGCACACGCAGACGCGCGACACGATGTTAAAGGATCCCAACTTCTCCGCTGAGGACTTCGAGTACGAATCTGCGCCCGGCGCATCCCGGTATAGAGATGGCCCTACCAGAGGCGAGGTTGTCGATTTGGACCCAGAGGGCGAGGTGCGCAGGCGCTGGCAGACGCCGTGGGGAAAGAGCTTTAGGACTCGCAGGCACAGACGGAGTTATAGTCATGAGCACTACAGGGTATACAAGAGACGGTGGATTGGGTTGGCGCAGCTGGTACTGCTGAACATCGTCATCAGTTGGGATGTAAGTTGATCGCTCACCCTCCCTTTCTTTTCCCCTTTGTCTACTGAAAGGGGGCCTCAAAAAAAGCTGGGCGAGGCTGTCAGCATTATTAGATCCCTCCTTGGCAATTCTTATCTTGAGATGAGGGCGGAAATTGCTATTTCTCGTCCCCCGGGGTTGTCCCGAACATGGGGAGGAAGGAAGCGCCAAAACACCAACCTTATTATAACACATGGTGGAAAACTGACATCAAAATGTAGTGGTTAACATTTGCGCCCATCTCCACTACTTCGTCACTCTACTTCGGTGTACCAGAGTCAAGTATCAACTGGCTTTCTACCGCTTTTCTTCTCTCCTTCGCCGTATCATGCCCCTTCACCATCTACCTCTTGCACCGCGGCCCCAAGCCATCCATCATCGCAGCTTCGGTCTTGCTTCTAGCGGGTAACTGGATCAGGTATGCAGGCACGGTGGCAAATGGCGGCATGTTCGGGGTCGTCATGGTAGGCCAGATTCTAACAGGTCTGGCACAACCATTTGTGTTGGCGGCACCAACAAGATACAGCGACATGTGGTTTACCGAGTCTGGACGAGTGGGAGCTACAGCGTTGGCAAGCATGGCGAATCCCCTCGGTGGAGCTGTAAGTTCTCACTCTTCTTGATCCGCAAAAAAAAAGCGAAGAGAAACAACAACATAACTAACAGCATCAAGGTCGCATCCCTCGTAAACCCAGAAATAGGCTCCCTCCCCACCACCGTCCTCATAATCTCCATCGTCGCCTCCGTAGCATGCATCCCCTCCCTCTTCATCCCCGCTGCGCCCCCAACTCCCCCCGCAGCCTCCTCCACCGTCGCCAAAACCCCCATTATAGATTCCCTCCGCCACATGCTCCGCACCCCCGCCTTCTACATCGTCTTCCTCACCTTCGGCGTCTACGTCGGCCTCTTCAACGCCTTCTCCAGCCTCATGAACCAAATCCTGTATCCATACGGCTACTCAGAAGATGAAGCCGGTATCTGCGGCGCCGTCCTCATCATAACGGGCCTCGTTGCGTGCGCAATCGTCAGTCCTATTGTGGATCGCACGCACGCCTACCTCAGCGCCGTCAAGATCCTAACCCCGCTCATTTCAATTGCCTACCTAGCTTTTATCTGGGCGCCGCAGACGCGCACAATTGCCGCGCCGTATATCCTCAGCGCTGCGCTGGGCGCAGCCTCGTTTTCCTTACTCCCTGTTGCGCTGGAGTTTCTCGTTGAAATCACTTTTCCAGCGAGTCCAGAAGTTAGTTCGACGATTTGCTGGGTGGGCGGCCAGATTATAGGCGCTATTATTATTGTTGTTATGGATGCGTTGAAGGATACTCGGCCGGTGGATCTCGAGCTTGTGAGGAAGCTCGGGAGGGGGACGCAGGGGTCTGTGGGAGATAGGCCGCCCGGAAATATGTTTAATGCGCTTGTTTTTCAGGCGGTGCTTGCGTTGGCGGTTTTGCCGCTGCCGCTAGCGCTTGGGTGGAAGAGGGTTGGGTTGGGGGTTACGGAGGGTAGGTTGTCGAGAGATGTGAATGGGGGCGTGGTGGAGGATTCCCATGCGTAGGTAGTATACTGAGGCTTGTTCAACTCATGGTTCTGAGCATGATGACGATGATGATAATGGGACATTCTCTTCATAAGGCTTTGATGTATCAGGGAGTCTGTGTCATTGAATCGTGGAGGAAAGCGAGAATCGGGGTTTTCCTGTGTTGCGTCCAAGTCTCCTTGTTTCGTGCTTTCTGAACTGCCAATCATTATCCGTAGATATCAACACTGTAGATCTGTTGCCAGATTTCTCACTTAATCAGTAGAACCAGTGTCTTTTCACTTGCAATTGGGTGTAGAGTTTGATTCAGAGGGAGAGATAGAAGTACAGTGATATTTCTAAACATGACTATGGTATTTACAGTCATCCATAATGTCTTGATCATTTGCACGCAATCCGAATGGCTGACCCTGATGCACTATCTATACGCTGGTATGGGAAAGTGGATGTTGTGGGGTAGATCGGTTTACTTGAGCTGAGCAAAGAGCTTGGGGGCGGCGCATTGGGTTGCACAGTGAGCCAGGTGGAAAACTGATAAGGCATTAGCTCATCTCTACGGTCAAGGCGAGGTGCGGTAGTGACATACATTCTTCGACGCAGTCCTCGTCGGCCTTGCCCTTCTCCTCAATCTGGCCTGTTACCCGTTGGGCGCACTCGTCGTAGTGGTGCTTGGGACCATGGCATTCCTTGGACTCGGCGCATTCTGCGATGAACTGTTAGTCATGCGTCTCTTCTATACCGCCATCTGATGATGCGTTGGGCCTGAGTGGGTGCCTGCACATGCCCATCCAGTAGCACCGCATCCAATCCCATCCGATAGGCAATTGATTCTGCCCATGCTTTCTGCCATATTCTGCGTCTTCCGGAGTCACTCACCCTTCTCGAGCTTGTCCTTTGGGTCTGGCTCCTCCTCTTCCTCCTCATCCTCATCCTCTTCAGGCTCCTCGGAAGGCTTGTGTCCCTGCTCATCCGAACCGCCTGACTTTGCGTCCTGCTTGTTGACCTCGGCCTCGTCGCCGCTCTCCTCGTCGGTGCCGGAAGCGGGCGATTTGGTGCTGGTGCCACCCTGGACGGGGTGCTCGGCGTCGGCCGAGGGGTGGGAGAAGGTCTCCCAAACGTCGCTGAAGAAGTCGGTGATACCCATTGTGAATGCTCCGGGGCAATTGGGGGTCCTCGAGTTGGGATGGGGGTGGTGCGGAGGGTTGGAGGTGATGATTTGACCAAAGCTTGAATCGTTGTTCTGAACCCGGGATCGCGAAAATGGGCGGTGCACGGACCCGACATTTGGGTTAGCGGGCGTCATCTGATTGCGAGCCCTCTCAGTGGCTTCTCACATCCTGTCGCCAGTGCGGCGGACATTTATGTCTGATTGGAAAAATATCTAGAGTTTTACCGACAATCACAAGTCAACTAACCCCGGTGCCGCTTGAAGGCTTCTTCTACGCTGACTCCATTCCCGACGTCTGCAGTAACCTTCTCATCGGCCTCGACCAGCTTCGGCAGCAGCTCGAGTAGCTCGTCCACCTTTGCCTGTGGCACCGCGACCACGCCGTTCTCGAATGGGTCTATCATGATGATGTCGCCAGCCTCGACAATTGTCTCCCCAATCTTCACAGGCACATTGTGCGCATGAAACTTTGTCTCGGCCCCCGCCCCGATCACAGACGTCGCTTTGGACCAGATGGGCAACTTCGTCTGGTTTAGAGCAGTGATGTCTCTTACTCGGCCATCAACTACAATGCCCTCTGCTCCAAGATGCTGCATGCGAGCCGCCATTATGCCCCCCACCACTGCGCAACTCTGACCAGGCGGCTGGCTGATGACGACAATGGTGCCATTCTCAGTATAATCTGCATATGGCCTTGAACCCGAGAGGTTGGAGGCAGGTAAATTGCCTGGCATCTGTGGTGGGGTCGGGAAAGACTTGGTGGCTTTGGGGACCATGAGGAAGGTCGATGCAGGCGCAAGCACCTTTCTCGGCTCAGGCTTCGGAATGCTAGCAGTATGGAGCAATGGCCCTGGACACGACTCAGTGGGTCTGTTGCATATAAATGTTACAGGCGCACATACTTATGTCGGCGAGAAAGCCTGCGCCAGGAACGTGGAGCTTGAGTAGGCCATCTGCGAGCTATGCAAGGTGAGTTATCTGAGAAGTGCATATACACAGACAAGGTAGGCGTACGTCGCATGCTGCATATTCGTACAATTTCTTCCATTTTGGAGATGCCATAGCTGTATACCAGAATCAAGATGGGCAATGTATCAGGTCAACTCTATGAGATGCTCCGGGCGCAGTGATGACCGTGGTTCCCTAACCCCGCCAACCGAGGTGTATCTGTTCGGAACCCCAGCGTCCATGTTTGAATAAACTTTTAGGCCTGGCAAGCATTGCCTACCTGTAGTTGTACCAGCAAACATCTATCTACTCTTATATTCCTACATGGTTTCTCCCCATTCGTCTTGTCTTGGACGGAAACACCCCGCCGGTTTCGCAGCCTGTCATAGATGGGCTCGTTTAGGCAAAACATTACCCCGCGCCGGTATTCTGGGGAAGAGCATGGGACTGTAAGACTTGTCCATACCTGTAAGAGCATACTGCACCCAGCAATGACAATCCGAGGTGGACTATGTAAGTACATAGTAGATATGTTGCCAAGACAGAGTGGGAACGCCAGGTGTCAAGCCACGGCGGTGGGAGGCGGAGGGCGATGTCATGCAAGGGTCCAAGACCAGACGATCGATGCGCACTGGCCTATTCTTCCTCTTTCTAGACAACATCAACGTCAACGTCCGGTGGCCTTTCGCCGCCACGACTTTTTGCTTTCACTTGCGCAACTCTATCCTTCACCCCTCCATCTGGTATCATACATAGTCTTTGCGGCCTCTGCCGCTGCACAATCTCCACTATGGCCTTCTATGCGGCCGGCGCAGTCCAGGTACGGTTTGCCACGAATCCCGACATCGCGTCATTGTGCCCCATGTTGATAGAGAATGTATAGAACGTCGCTTCTGTCACCACCGAGCTGTGGCCAACCATGTCCACTGTCTTGCGATCCTCCTGGCACGGCTTTGGGCGAAAGCCCATGGCTGCCGGCATCCGTCAGCTTCATACCTCACGATCATCTCCGTCTACCGTAATGGCAGGAGCGCATGTACGCAAATCCAAGTCCATCGCCCTCGTTCATCATACTGATATGAATATAGCAATGCGCGCAGCCTGCTCGTCCCGAATACTCCGAATCTGCTTCCTCGTCCACCGCCTGCGCTACTCCGTTTTCCAAGCTATCTTCGGGTTAGTAAAAAACAAAAGGCATCCGGCACAAGGCACAAGGCACAACTAACATCATACAGTATCGCGAGTCGGACTATGCAACCCTTTCGCTAGCGCTTCACCCTTCGCCTCCCTCAAGACACGTCAATACTCTACCATGTCTCGCAACGGCCCTCTATCGCACCTCCGTCAGCTCTCGAAGCCAGGAATGCTCGGATTGAATCTCGTACAACAACGCTCGCTCTTCGGTGGACCTTCGCATGAACAACTTGCTCGATTGGAACAGACTGCCAACAAGCACCCCAACAGCGCACCGTCCCAGGCTTCCTTCTACTCGGCACTTATGCGCGCCAACATGCCTCAAATCATCATCAACCGGTACAACACAGGCCTTTTCGCCACAAACGATGTCATAGACAAGCTTTACAATGAGGCCTTGACAAAGACTGGACAGCAAGGTGCTGTTCAGGAAGGACTTTCACCAGAAAAGCGTCAGGCCATCACTCAGGCTCTCGGAGCAAATGCCAACTCAGCCCAGGTCGCAAGAACCAAGGGTGGCAGTGGCGTTAAGACCGACCCTGTCTATGTTGTTGTCGAGGAGTCCTTGATGAACGTTATCTTCAAGTGGATCCGATGGATCTGCGGTTTCGCTCTGGCTGCCTACGTATCCCTGGTCCTGATTACGCTTTTCGTTGAGACTAGTGGTGTTCTCAAGAAGGTTGGTGGTGGCACTACTGCCGAGGTTCGTCCAGAGCAGCAGAACACCCGTTTCAGTGACGTCCACGGTTGCGACGAAGCCAAGGAAGAACTCCTCGATGTCGTCGACTTTCTTAAGAATCCAGACAAGTATAACAAACTCGGTGGAAGATTGCCCAAAGGTGTCCTCCTAGTTGGCCCTCCCGGTACTGGTAAAACCCTGCTTGCTCGTGCTTGCGCGGGCGAAGCTGGCGTCCCCTTCTTCTACATGTCTGGTTCTGAATTCGACGAAGTCTACGTTGGTGTCGGAGCGAAGCGCGTCCGCGAACTCTTTACTGCTGCTCGTTCCAAGGCGCCTGCCATCGTGTTCATCGACGAGTTGGATGCTGTAGGCGGAAAGCGAAAGTCCCGCGACGCCAACTACCACCGCCAAACTCTGAACCAGCTTCTCAATGATCTCGACGGTTTTGATCAAAGCACCGGTGTCATCTTCATTGCCGCAACGAACCACCCTGAACTTCTAGACCCAGCTCTTCTCCGCCCCGGACGTTTCGATCGCCATGTCCAGGTTGAGCTTCCTGACGTCAGTGGACGATTGGCCATTCTTAAGTATCATACCAAGAAGATTCGTCTTTCACCCGATATCGACCTCTCTTCCATTGCCCGCGGTACCCCTGGGTTTTCTGGTGCAGAGTTGGAGAACCTTGCAAACTCAGCAGCTATCCGCGCATCGAAGCTTCAGGCCAAGTTTGTGACCCTCAACGATATGGAATGGGCCAAGGACAAGATTACAATGGGTGCTGAGAAGAAGACACGCACAATTCCGCTCCAAGACAAGATCCACACTGCATACCACGAGGGTGGCCACGCACTTGTTGGTCTCTTCACCAAGGGCTTCAATGATGTTCACAAAGCAACCATTCTTCCCCGTGGACACGCTGCCGGTATTACATTCTTCCTTCCCCAGGAAGAGAACCACCACACCCGCAAGCAGTACATTCGTCAGCTCCAAGTAGCCATGGGTGGCAAGATGGCAGAGGAGATTGTCTTTGGTGCTGACAATGTAGCTGACGGTGCTTCCGGCGATATCCAGCAGGCCACTTCGCTAGCGTACAACATGGTCACAGCATGTGGATTCTCGGACAAGCTCGGTAATGTCGACTTCAAGTCCAACTACGAAATGGTCTCCCCCGAGACTAAGCGACTCATCGACGATGAAGTCCGACGTTTGATAGATGAGGCAAAGTTAAGCGCACGAGAGCTACTTCAATCGAAACGCACCGAGCTAGATCGTCTAGCCGATGCACTTGTTCAATATGAAACCCTGGACAAGCAAGAAATCCTTAAAGTCATCAAGGGCGAGGACCTCCCCGGTCGCCTAAAGGCTATGCCCGATTCCCCCATAAAGATACCAGACAACCCTCTTCCCACAGCTATATTGCCTCCACCGAGGGGCAACGGTGGCAATGGCTCGGGTCCCCCGGGCCCGCCGCTACCCGCATAGTTTCATCATGACTAAAGATGAGCAAAGGCAAGGGGGATATTAGTTGAAAAAAGAAAAATGCACATTTTAGCATGTATATTGCATGAATGGGGCGTGGAAACATGGTGGCGTTTGCAAAGCTTTTTTGCCCTCACTGTCTCTCTCTCCGCTTTTCCCCCTCCCTTCGTTTTTTATGAAAGCAAGGGTTATGAATGGTCTGTCTTCTTTTTTGGTAGTTTATTTTTTGTACAGTAACAAACTTTTGGGGGTTCTTTGGTAAGAAAGAACCTTTTATCCAAGTATGTGCGAGCTTTTTTTGGTAGCTGCACAGAAATGAGAATGAAAATATTAAATTGGCAAATAGTGTGTTTTTTGTTGTTGTTGTTGTTGTTGTGACTGTAAGGCTGATGGGGTATGAGAAAGCGTGATGTTGAGAAGTACGGAATATCACGTGATGGATTCAATGCTTGCAAATTTAGAATACAAGTCATGTTACTGTAGTGAATCCTGTCTGTTTCGCCAATCATTCAAGTCTTGAGCTTTTTTTTTCTTGGGTGCGAGGAATTGAAGTTGCGAAGAGGATTCAACTTGATATTCCAATCTACATATAGATAAGTTTATCAATTTCAATTTTTACACGTATACAGTCTATATGATTCCTCATCTGTGAGTGATCGTATGTCAATGTGAACTGTGTAATCTCCATCCTCTCCTCCACTCTCTCCACTCTCTCCCCCCCCCTTTCCGCGGAAAACAAATTGTTGCTACAATGCCGAATCTACAGACGCCTTGGCATTGCATAGCCGTATCTGACAGAATACATTTTGAAGGTTCTTTGATCTCCTGTATACAGATCGCTTGGAGTAAATGGCTAGGATGACGAAAGATGAGCAAGATGAAGATGTTCAGTCTGTGTAGATGAGGCCGAGCAACCTGTGTCCCTACAGCATGACTGTGGCTAGTGACAAGGTAGCCAGCCAGGCTTAATCTATTTCTACTACACCGGTCTGCGTGATTTGCGGGGGCGTCCTGTTGCAGTTTGGCATCAAATCGCACTCGAGTCAGTTGCGGTCTGGAGTCGTCTGTCGCAACCAGCCACACGCACAGCGCACCCTGTATATCGACCACAGTTTCTGAAACTGAGCGGGGTTGTTTTTGTCTGGTGGGGATAGATGGCCCCGAGGAATGGGGGTCAGCTGACGTCAGGATCCCTTTATGCTGGCTGGATTCCTGTCCACGTCTTTTTTTTCAGCTGCATCTGCAGTCTAGACTGGACACATGGGACTTTAGTCGAATACTAGACTCGTCGGCAGTTCGCAAGAAGCTCCCGGTACTTTGATGACTAACACGCATATTAATTTCCGGAGCTCTTGAGTCACACACCCCCGGTGCCACCTCCTACGCCATGTCTTGCACATTGTATGGTGTTGTACTCAGGCGTAGCGCGTTCTTGGCGTAAGCGTCGCGGGTAGTGCGCGTCGCGATGTTGCGAGGGGTAAGATACCTCTGTTGGAGGGCGTGTGAAACATTCTCATAGCCATGTCGGGTGAGCTGATGCCGACTCAGTGCGCAGTTCAGCTGAAGTGTGGTCGTCTCCACATAGCTGCCCCAAATTCGTAACTTTTGCAACGTAATCCTCATCTGACTTTGTCCACTCGCATCATTGGGCGGTAAATATGACGCGTGTTTCGAGTGTTGTTTCTTTGTTTGAGGGATTGATCATATGAGTAGTGTGAGCTGTTGGTGTTCAAATATAAACGAATCGTTCAAACGTAAAGGGCTCATGTCCAATCGGAAACTGTTCCTTCTGTCAGCATGCGTGGTTTCTGCGCCGGATTTACCGCAGATGGGCATGTTGCGAACCTCAGTGCGGTCGGGGGTGATATCGCTGGTAATCAGGTGCGGAGGTAGGCAAACTCACATGGGGATTGTGGGTTACCTGGTGTTGTGGCCCGAGTGATGAGCCATATCCATAGTCGTATGCGTTGGAGAGGTACTCATATGATTGTTGTGATAGATTCTGTGTTTGCTGGTGATATGATATGGGTGCTGGAGGCTCAGGACTGTAGTGGTACAACGATGGCTGTGGAGAGGTCTGGACAGGATGCTCAAATCCCAATGTCCAAGCCGGTGGCACGTTCCAGGCAGTGGTTGCTGGAGGAGGTGGCGGCGGAGAGTAGGGATTTGCGTTCCAGTTTGAAGAATAGACACCATATGCGTGTGATGCGGTACCATGTTGGCCACCAAAAGATGGGGTTGTGGTTGCCATGATAGGGGTCTGTGAAGCTTTACTCCTAGCTCCTGGAGAGCTAAGGCCACTGTTGGAAGGCATGGAAGGCATTTGGTAAGGCGATAAGCTTGATCCTATGGTGCTGTGGTTTCTTGAATGTGAGGGCGTATACGTTTCTTGTTGCTCGGGAGATGGCTCATGTCCCTGATGATCGTCTGTCTCATCACTGATCAACTGCTGGAGATATTGAAGCTTGCGTTTACGCTTTTCACCTGCGATAAGACAAGTCAGATGAGATACAAAGGCTATCCTCGAGAACAACTTACGGTAGTTACGCGAAGCGATCCTGTTTTGTTGCTTTCGGATCTCGCTATTGACCTTCTTCGGCTTTACGGTTGCCTCTGCGCTCTCTCCCGATTGCCTTGTCCTTTGGCGACCTCTTTGCGATGACTCTGGCGATAGTGTGGTACTAGGGGGATTCATGGCGCCAGCAAGTACGAATGGGAACCGGAGTATGGAGATGATGTGCACAAAATGTGCTGAAAAGGGCTTGCTTTTGAGCCGCTGATCAGTTTCCAAATGGACGTTGTAAGGTTACATTCGAGCAGCACAGAATCCCCTGGACATAACAATGGGGGCCACACTTGCTAAGCGAAACACGTCTGCAGCCTGCCTCTGCCATCAGGCCTTTTCTAAGCGCTGCTGAATAAACACGACCAAAATAGTAGCTGGACCAAATGACAGACAGAAGCAAGCAATGCAGATTGTGATCCTGCCGCCATCAACCTTAACCTTATTGTCGCCGCAATATGGTGAGATCGGATCATCAGAGACTTGGGGAACTGCATAGCACATGTTCTGGGGTCTTAGTCATGTTGGCCAGCCACGTTACAAGCTGTATGCCGGTTCGATGCCGCGTAGCCGTTCAATCAGTAAACGATCCGTGATTAGTTACTGCTGTATTGGGTACGCTAGGCGAGGGAAGCTGGAGTTTCGGATTGCTGAATCATCGCGGAAGAGCGACCCGAGCATGATCCGTCATGAAAGAGTGTCCACGTGAGCAGGCGAAGCCATGGTGGGTGACGTGGAGCATGTCGCCAGCAGCAGCAGGGCCGGACATACCGCCTGTGGGGAGGTGACGACAGATGGGATTTGTCACATGAATCGCGATGGGTGTGGAGAAGCGCATTGAAGCAGTGGGCACAAGTAGTGGAGGAAAAACGTTGAGCTACGAAGAGGCTATGTTTGTGGCGGTCTAAGGCCGTCAGCCACTAGTCCGCCATGGTAGTGGACTAGGTGATGCATAAGCAGGGGCAACACGAATCTCACTCCGCCTTTTCCAGCACCAAATAGCACAAAGCTGCGTGTACCTCAATGTCACATCAAAACAAGTCTTGATTGTTTTCTTCTTTGTCGTTGGACTTCGCCACGGAGACGGTGTCACCAGCGATCGGAATTAAGGTTGCGACCGGGCCGTTGGTAATCCTATCTAATCATCACAACCAAATATAGAACATGGTGGTAGCCTAGCCAGTCTAAGTGTTGCCGACGGGAAAGTCGATACAATCATGGGACGAGTACGGCTGCCTTGGATAACGGTGAGTCTTATCACATACTTGCTAACGCACCGTGAATCAACACTTATGATGTAGCACCAGGCATCGCCATCATGCCATTGGCCCAACAGTTATATGTAGGAACGCATGACGCGCATGTCATTGAATGCAAGCAGTTCGATCGTCTGTAACTGATGTGCCAGCGAATGTAGCATTGCCAAGACGAGTCGCGTGGATTTTATTTAACATACGAGTAGGTATTTTACAAGAGCGAGCATCCTCATCCAATCGTACGTATGTGAGTCAATATATAGAGTCACGGGGAAATGTTGCAGTGGTCGGCTTCGAGCGTTGTGTGGCTGAGCAATGGAGATTACAACTAAACATTGACAAATCATTCTGGGGTATATGCACTGGCTCTGTCAAACACCTGATGCAGGCATCGCTCGCCCCAATCCTTTCGGTTGTGGGCGGAACGGTCGCCACATGGTCGCCCATCTCCGCAAGAACGCCGCCGACCCGCCACCATGGTATCTTCGTATCCAGAGACGCCATAACCCAAAAACTGCAAACAAAACACTATTGGTTTACCAACACCACGGCAAGCCGATCTGCTCAACTTATCTCAGTCACCTCTTTCTTCTTCAGACTATAAGTCCGAACAATATTAGACAAGCTGGTTTTCGAGTGGCCTTCCGAGTCTGGGCTTGGACGGGTCAAACTTTGAGCTTCTTCCTCCGTCCTGCGTTGCTGTATCTGTGTTAGTGTCGTCTTGAGTGCAGAATACAACTGCTTGTTGTCGCTGGTATCGAGATCGACCCAGAAGGAATAGAAGAATAAACCTCGGTGATTGACGGTTTTGAGATGGCGCATGATGTACTGCCTCGCGGATACTTCGGGCTCGCTTTTACTGGGTGAGTAATCTGGGAAAAACTTCTCCAGAGGCGAGTGGGGCATCTTTCTGGTAAAGCGAGTGTAGTTGTTAAATATGATAATGATGGAAGAGGTTGAAAATCCGGGCTGACTGATCCAGCTTTCAAAGCTCCTGAATTCGTCCATCAAAAGAGACTCGTTCGGTTGGGTGGGACTCGGCTTGTCGTACAGGGATACATCAATGGTGTACATGAGTGCAGCCGCTCCCTCAAGCTGATGGAACCAGCGCTCCCGGAATTGATCAGGAAAACCCTCCTTGACGTTGAAAAGGTGAATATCCAGTTCATCCCAGTTGAAGCGCAGCTCCTTGATGCCGCGCATAGATTGGTTCAAGCGAATGATATCTGCTTCTGTAGGAACGTAATCTGGATCAGCTATGCGGGCGACTTCTTGCGCAAAGTAGGGTGCATATTGGGGGAAGTCAATCTCGAAGTTGTGGTCGTACAATTTAGAAAACTGTGGACTCGACCAGAGGCCATCAATGGCCTTGGCCGCATCTGGTGTGATGCCCTCATTACCAGCCTCCAGTTCGTTGAGTAGGGTAGCGAAATGCTGGTTCAGCTCGGACGGCAGGGATACACCAGTGTCTTTGAGCAAGTCGGCCATGGATTGCATGAGAGAGTAGACCACTTGGATGATCTGACACCGGTGCTTGATGCGTTCACTGGCAGGTTGATGGCCCTCTGCATATAGCATCTTCAATTGGTGCATCAAAAGATCCTTACCACTGTTGATCTTCCCTACGAGGACGAGCTTGGTCTCATGACGGAGATTAGTGGCTTCTCTTTGCAGCGCACGGTCGATTGCTTCTGATCGATTGATTGCTTCGACGTGCTCGTAGTTTGCATCGCTGGGCGAAACGTTCCTGTCGAGTGAATTTTGAGCAGACTTTTTGTTGAACAAGAACTTTAGCCACTGGACGAAGGATGACAGCTGCGTAAGTCCTGCTATGCAGCCGCTATTCCATCTTGAGGACTGTGAAAGTAGTTTGAGATTTGCAACGTCCTCTTGCCTGATTTGGCGACTTTTGTAGAGCAGAATCTTTCGTTGCGCCTGTGCTGTGCTGTTGCTTGTTAGGAATCTGATACGTCAGAGGCTGGCTGGTCAAATATCTCACCAGTGACATGCCGCAAGTAGTAGGTTCACAGCATCATTTTGCCTTTGCGCAACCGTCTGCAGTCGGCCCATGGTCCTGCTAGCAAGCGCATACTTTAGCTTGGCTGCAAAATCGGAGGCACGCAAGTCTGATTGCTGAAAGGTCTTGATGAGCGAATTCACATAGCGTGAAAGCTCATCGGACGAGTGGGTGAGCATATCCAAGTCCGTAAGCAGCTGCGGATGCAGGTCATTGCCACTGCTGTCAAGCCAGTCCTGTATGCTTCCATATGTGGATTTCAGAGCTGTCAGCTGCGCAATAAGATTAATGGGCGACCCATTGCCATCTTTGCGGCGGTTGTGAATTTGGCGCAAGCCGTCAATGTCGTACCGGAGCCGATCGCGAAGTGCACCGATAGCGCTGATCAATGCGAAGACGTTCTTCTCGTCGGCCACCATGGCTGTCGTGGCCTGGCCTGGTCGTGTTGCAAAGCAATCGTCGTCAGTCTGGTCAGAGCGGTTGGTTCAAACGAGCACGAATGTGAATGGCAAGAGTGTTTGCGACTGGCAAACCGGGCGCGCGGAGGCTGGCAGCAGGGGGGTTAAAGTTGGCACTTGTAAGCCGTCGTCACGACACCTCATGCAAAGGGCCAGTCCCAGGTCCGCAGATGGTGATTGCTGAGAATAGAGAAAACGACTGCGCCCGACAGAGACCGACGATATACCGCAGGCAGTCCAGGTGCGGGGCTGTCACGTTTGTTCTTCATAAATGGCAGTGCAGTTCGTCTACAGGGGATGCTTGGCAAGGACCCGAGTCGGACATTGAAGCGACTTGGTTGATCAGACATCGATAGCCCGGATGTCGCTCTGCGAGCGGCTGTTTGGCGCGTCTTAATGCCAGGGACGCGTTAATCGGTTACGGCTCGGGCTGGTAGCGTGGCGGCCAAGGCGGTTTCGCCCTGTCATGACCGGGTGCTGATAAGTAGTGCTGGGGGTGCATTCCGACGGCTAATTGAAGCAAGGCTACCAAGGGGGGAGCACGGCCGGGGATCGGGTGCCATAACGTGGTTGCTGGGAACAACGTGGGTGAGATGACGTGGGCTTGAAACGTGAAGTCGCAGTATATGAGTGGAGGTCAAGAGGAGACAGTCAAAGAGCGAACTTGCCCATCCTTCCCTCCTGGCCCGTGACTCACCGGCTACTAGTGCAAACGCCTGCCTGCCAAGCCAGCTTCTTGTCGTCATCCTACGCTGCACAACTCATTTTTTAACCACCAGCAATCATGCTCATCACCGGCCCTAGCAAGTTATTACAAGGCCCGACCGCCCCATCGCTAGGACCATATATTTTTCACCCATGAAACCCGCCGCCGGACACACCATGGCGGCTTTAAACACACTCCCAAATGAGATCCTCTCGCTGATCACGCGACATCTTGACCGTCCCAAAGATGTCCTCAATCTCTCGCTAGTATGTCGTCGTCTGGGCGACTTTGCAAAGCTAGACGGATGGAAAGCCTTGCTCAAAGGCCGATTTGGCTTTGGCGGGCTCGACTCAGATGCTCGTGTCGCCGTCCATGGCCTCACAACACTATACCGTAACTGGAACCGCAAAGGCTTCATCGCAGCATACTTGGAGCCTACAAGAAATACAACGAGTCTCAATACCTGGCGACCTGAGAGGTGGAGACCTCCACAGGGGCAGACTATGGGCTATCAACCCAGCATCGACAGCTATGAAGAGATGTATGGTGGGTGGGGAGAGCGACGAGAAGTACTGGCATGGTCTGCGGGCACGCAAATCATTTTGAGGACAAAAGAAGCTGGTGCAAACGTAGAGAAAATCAGGCAACGCGAACAGGATCTGGAAGAGGCACCTGATCAGACGTGGTCTTACGAC